AAAACACTGTGTCCGAAGAAAATTGGATACGGTTTCGGTGTTATCTCGTGCTTGTCGTTTATATAGAACTGCTATCGGCGATTTAATTATCCACGTAGACCACGCTTTGTAAATTTCATCGCAAGAAAATTGCAAGAAATATAATATTATTATACCCAAGAATTTGCAGAGAATGCTGTCTGCTAATTATATATTTCTTCAGATTATTTTCGCGATAGATTTCGCAAGCATTTTAAACAAATATTTATCAGCTTCGACAAGACCACGAATTACATTTTCGCATCGTGCAGATAGGGGTTGAACGAATCGACGAATTTAATCTCTTAGTTAACCGCGGGTGTTTCCGGATAAATCAGAGAATTTTGCAAACGTGAAATACATGCGTCTTGCAAATCGCGAAATTGTCGCAGATAAAATCAAATATTTTGATCTGGCGATGAAACTATCGAACAATTGTCAATATATATTTATTCTACGATGTATTTGTCATTGTACGATTGCGATAGACCTAAAGTTTGCAATGTACATACTAACTTTTGGTAAGTATATATACTAACTTTCACCGAGTTTATTTAGTTGTCAAAGTCAATTATTCGGTTTCCCGATTCGAAGCAGTAGTTGAAACAACCCGCAGAGACGCAACTTCGCCGCTCGATGTGTACGTATCTTCGTTTCTGTTCTTTCAAAAAGTTACGAGACCAACCAAACTTCGATCTCTACCCCTTCTACTCTCGGCGACGCTTCGCCGATGAAATAGACATCGACCGGTCCACGCTATCCTCCTAATGACGTCCCGGCGCGATGAGATAGACGTCGGCTAGTTCGCGAAAACAATCCCTATAGCGCGGGCCAGGTGATTAAATAAACATCGCGTCGAACCTCGGGCCACGCGAAGCCTACGAGCCCACTCGGCTCGTAACAATTGATTATCGAACAGCATTAACAGCAGTATCATACGCGTCGGCAATAAGTTTTCGCCATGTTGCAATTGCAGAACTATTGATCTACGCTGGTCGACGGCGAGAATTAACGATACAATTAGGGTAAGCGTAGATACGTTGCGGTTCGAAGGCGAACTTCGGCGGAGAAAATGAGACCTTCCCAATAAATCGACAACTCGTGCTGTATGTATTATTCTTTAACTCGAACATTTACTTTTCGCAAAATATTGGATCTCTGGAAGCACAAATTTCATTGAAAAGCGACATTATTATACCCATCTCGAAATATTGCAACAGCTGCATACTATTTGAGTGATTATTATTATTATTCTATATTATTATATCATGCGATTCCTATGTTAATAAAAATATACCAATTTTCTTTCATTTACAACGCGATAAAATATCCGTGCAGCGCGAACGGTTAAAGCACCGCAGTATTTGGGACGTCCGCGGCGATACCCGCACTCGGCCTCTCCAATAGCACAATTTTAAACAATTTTAAAGTCGCAAACGCGATGCAGAGCCTTATCCGAGGTTCCGATTCGATCGCATCAACGGTTACGTCTTCGAGGAGCCGTCAACGATGTTCCATGCATGCAATCTTCCCCGATCGTGGAAACGGGCAGGCCCCCGGCCAGACAAAGCTGGCCGATATTCCTCTATTCGGAATCCATAAAGTTCTTTCGTTTCCTGCCGGGAAGTTAGGACGACGGCCGCGCGAGAGCACGAAACGCGGAGGATTGCCGCGTCGGAAGAGCCAGGGAACTGCAAGTTTAAATTTGCACTTGGCACCTGATCGGCTGACGTTGCAGGGAACCGGCAGCCAAGAGGTATATATACATGTATACGTATATACATATACATATATACATGTATATGTACGTATATAAGCGAGAAGGAGGGTCAAAGGGGACAGCGGGGGGGAAGTGGGGAAGAGGGTCCGCGAGGGGAGGGGTATAATTCGCTCGATTATTTAATAGCTTGGCCTGTCGCCTAGCTACAACATTGAGCAGCCTGGCCCCGACATTCTCCAGTTGCAATCTATATTAAAGCCTCCGCGGCGAATTGCTCATTAGCGGATTAACGAGGAGCATGATGCCAGCCTTAATTACAGTCTGCCGGCCGATATGAATTCTAAACAATAAATCATGAGAGGACCGCGTTGTCACGGGCCCCGTGACAACTAGGAATACATGATTCGCGGTTATGAAATTTATTAGGTCCTCGGGAGAGAAGAGACCGATCACGATTATCCACGGGATCCATTTTTATGCGCGAACGTGATCGACAGCTGTTTCCGGATCGAGGAAACGTCGCGGTGTTAGCACGTTCGCGAAAAAGAAGGATATACAGTAATGTCTCTCTAATTGACGCTCGGATTGTCCAGAGAAATGGACAATTTTGGAAGAGGAGATACGATTAGTCTAATCTTGCGGCTCGTTTTTATGGTTATAAGTTGACAACAATTATAAAAACGAGCCACAAGGCTCGGATAATCGTATCTCCTCTTCCCAAATTGTCCATTTTTGTGGACAATCTGAGCGTCAGTAAGGGAGACATTACTGTACTGCCCCACCCCATCACGATAGAATCGTAAAATAATAATAATTAAAAGACAATCACTGCACTCGTGCAACAGAAAAGCATATATTTATACGAAGAATTGTGCAATGAAAGAACGTTCACCGTTTTGCGTTCGAACGACTATTTCATTTTGCTAGATAAAAATAACAAATATTCCGTAATAATACAGCTGTCATTTCCTTCCCTTTACACCGGATGTCCAAAAATTATGGTACTTCCAGGATATAAAAAGGCTTCTGACTATTTCGAATGTCCAAGCATAATTAAGACCAGAAATCGAAGGCTTACGATTTAGCGTTTCCTTTGCATAATTCTCAATTAACAGCAATCCGCATAGGCGTGGAACGATAACAATTTCAGAAGGGCATATTTCTCGACCAATGATCGGGATCAGGAAGCACGATAGCGAGCTCGATCATGGCCACCGACACCGGTAATCCTAGTTACGCCACGAGGTGTCGCGAACCGATCTGCTCTGTATCATGATACATTGTTCATCGACGACGTCATGATCTATGGCAGAGGGAACTTGATCGTATCTTGATCTCAGATGTGGCGACCTGGATTAAGTTATGAGCTACGGGCGACGCCGCGCCGTGTTACGGGGGCTTAATAACGTTGATCAGGATGAAGTCCGGATCGTATTATGGTCGACCACCGTGCTTCGTCCACGTATCTGTGATATCGCGATTCAAAACTGCTCTTCGAGAGTTATTGCCATCTCCATCATTTACGCTAGATACCTTTCCCGTTAAAAAGATTGGTTTCGAAGCGATTCCCGTAATTTATCCTAATATAGCAGCACCGATATCAAATTCCTCCAACAGGTATCATAGTTTATCTACGCTGAGAACTAATCTTTCCACCAACTTTTGAGTGCGCACGTGGCTCAAATATTCCCACCGTTGAAATGTGCTGCCATCTATACAGTATATACTAAAATTATGGAACTTCTGGGAACAAAGAGGTTCCTGAGGTCGTTTGGAGTAACTTTTTCCTTTACGAAAATGTTCTCCGAGGCACAGTTTACGAGTTATCAACGAAAAACACTGACTAATAAGAGATCGCGTACAGTTGACGCTCCGCCCTCGCGATCACCACCGCCGCGTCAGACGGCCGGCGCGACGCGGCATTGGCCGGAGGGGCGGAGCGCCGGCCGCCCTCTTTCTCCGATTGGTCAGCGTTTTTCGTTAGTAACTCGTAAACGAAGCCTCGTAGAACATTTTCGCTAAGGAAAAAGTTGCTTCAAATAACCCGAGGAACCTTCCATTTCCGAAGACATTTTTGGGACACTCTGTAGAGCTGCCTGAACGTCGCTGGAGTGCTCCAGGCTGGCGCGAGGCTGGACGGAAGAGACCTATCGCGTTTCAAGCCTGCGGAATCGCGGAGTTCCGCGTTGCGGGGAATGCGGGGAGAGCTCGATGGCCGTGTAGAAGATCCTCGCGGGGACTGCCGGGCTGCTGATGCGGTATTTGCGCAGGTGTACGAAACATCGAACGGCAGACAACGTTGTTCGGAGTAGTTGGTCGTTGCATTGTTACGTAACCGGATAACTTGAGACGTGCGTCAGGGTTGGGCGCGTGCAACGCGCGTCCGAGATAAATCGCGGGCTCGATGAGACATCGAGGTGCTCCCGGGTTGTCCGAGCGAGGCTGTAACAATGTCCGCCGTTGCAAATTGTCGTCGACTGTCCGTGGATTTTATTCGAATTTTTTGGCATCGTTTGGATTCGTTCGCGAGACCTCAACTCGGGATTGCTTAGTCGAGCCGGTCGTCGCGGCTTAACGATTTTCGATGCTGCGAACCGTTATTGGAGGAATAAGGATTTTATAGCAGCTTTCGAGCTATATAAACATTGAAGGCTAATAATTGCCGTCATTGTAAATTGCTGTAGGGAGAGCGCGGATTTTATCCTAATTTTTCAGCGTCGCGACAGCTTCGGCGAGACGTCGACTTGCAACTCTATTGGTCGCTGTTTTTCCGTTAATAATTCGTGAACAAAATCGCGGATTGCATTTTTGCTAAAGCAAAAGCTGCTTCGAATGATCTCAAGAATCATCCACTTTCGGATTGCGAGACATTTTTGGGATGTCCTGTATATTTCGCCCTTTCGGGGCGTTAATATAGTTATGAGACACCCTATAGATAGCTGAATGTTGAAGAAACTAACAGAACGAATCCTTCGGCAGTGATGATGCCCATTCGGAGGGCTCGGACGAAGAGCGATGACAAATAACACAAATCGAATATTTAAAATATTACTACAATATTTTTTTAAAATAAAAAGTCTATTGAACTGATTGCGAAATTACAGGCTCCGCTAATTAGCAATTCTTAGGCTTTTACAATTCCGTGGAAGCAAAGGAAACTTGTCCTGTATCTTAACAATTCTACATTTGTTTATTAAACTCGTTTGTTCTTAGCGATTCAATGTGCTTTTTGTATTGACAAGCAAACGTTGTTTTTTCGCAGATGGGAGCGCTGAAGACGATAATCTGGATACGGCTGTTCAGGATTATACAACCGACGAAGACTACAATGATCTCTTCGATGCTACCACCAATGGGTACGTCGCTAATAGATAGTTAATGTAACGCCGACAATTTTTTACTAATAGAATTAACTGTAGATATTTAGGATGGCAAAAATTAGAGGAAGAATGGAAGGAATTCGTAAGTAATTCTAGCCTTTTGCAATATAAATGCGGAATATTTTTATTTCACCCTCTTGCCCTGTTAAATTGCCCTCTTCTATCTTATATTATTATTATATTATTATTTTTATTATTGATATTAATATTATTATCATCACTATTTATTTTAATTTATATTACTACACCTACAAAATAATCTAAACTCGGAGCGAAGAGAAGCGAACACGATCAACAACGATGAAATTAAGAAGAGCGTATCGCCATTATCCGGGCAGTTCAGTGGCACGCAATTAAAACGGAAGCCCGCAACAGGATTAGCACGAGCGAGGCCGGCCTCGCCATGGAATCATAGTCCGCCGGGTCGCGAAATCAAGTTTGATCAATCGTGGATGGAAGTGAAATTAAAAAAAATAGGGGTGGAAGATATGACGTTCTCGGGGAGGGAGGACGGTGCGGGAGGTGGAAAGCAGGATTGACAGAGGCAAAGAGGGGAAAGATTTCATGGGTCCGTATGATGGAAAAGCGAGCCGGGGAATGCCGCAGGGCTTAATAAGGAAGCGGCGCGATTGGTTCGATTCGAAAGCTAATAATGCCACTTCCCGTGCGTCGCGCAACTGCGAAGGCTTTGGGCGTGATTAAATTTGAATTCTCTCGTTCCTTCAGACAGGCTAATTCGGAGAGGAAGCGGCGATAGGGCCAATCGAGATTCCAACGATCGAAGCCACGGCTCCTCGTCCTCGTCCTCGTCTTCGATTTCGCTTATCGCGGGGAGAAATTTTCTTCCCGGAGCCGCCGAGATTTCGGAAATGGAAAGATCTCGCTCGGGAAATGAAAACTCTTTAAGGCTAAATCTGTCGAGCTTCCGGCCCAGGGGGGAAGCAACTTCGAGATCTTATAATCGTGCAATTTAACCTCGATTTTTCGTAAACCTTCTCTGTCGTTCTCCGCTAAATAAAAGCTCTGCCAAATAAAGTTAAAGCTCCGTGAAAAATGCTGAAACGAAAATGCTAATAATAACAATAATACGACAATGTATAAAACCGAAGGAGCACGGTTTAGCAGAGAGAAGAAAAGAAAAATAAATTGACACGATCCACTTCTCGTTCTCCGACTTGAAACATTAGGATCGGCTCGAAAGTTTCGAGGCGTGAGCGCGCGTCGCCGATAAATCTTCTCGGATAACGAAAACTTCGTGGGAATATACGGAATAATTTTCGCGGCGGATATGGTTCGTATCCATGAAGAATTGATCTTCCACGATCCTTCGAGGGATAAAGCCCGTGTCGCAACAACGTCTACCAGCATCTCTGTCAGCCACGGCTCGACATCCCCCTGCCGAAGGGGTTAGAGGGAATTGGTCGGTGCATCAATATTAATGGAGCCACGTGGCGTTCAGGAATAATGCAGCCGGCTGGGAAGTCGTCGACCCGTGTGCATGCACGATATTGTAACCATAATGCGTTACTGCGATTGGTTACGACACGTAATTTCAATCGGGTTCGGCGCATTACCACGCCATTATGCGGCGACGTACAGCTACGAGGGCTGGCTGGCTGTTCGGTTAGGCTTCCGAGGTCTCCCGCTTTCTTGCTCGGATACCAGATGCTTGATACCACTGCCTATGGTGTCATGTACTATTATCGCGCGTGCTACGGGTTTTCCTGCAAAATTGAAACTTTTCGATTCTGTCGCGGGGAACGGAAGTTCGACGAAGGGGTTGCTTCTTCTTGGAATTTTGAGAAGGGCGAGATACGATTCATCTGTGCACGCTGGTGACTTGTATTGCAGATTTTTATGCAAAATGATATTTATTTCATTCTGCAATTATTTCATGTTTTCAAAGGACTGTAAATTCTCCCTAATTGACGCTCTCGTTGGGAGCAAAAGTGGACAATTCGGGAAGAGGAGATACTTTTACAGTTATTTTTGTACTTTTATACTTTTATGCTTCTTTGATACTTCTTTTATAATTCTATTATACTTGTATACTTCTTTTATAGTTCTATTATACTTGTATACTTCTTTTATAGTTCTATTATACTTTTATACTTCTTTTATAGTTCTATTATACTTTCATACTTCCTTGGTACTTCTTTTATAGTTCTATTATACTTTTATACTTTCTTTGCACTTCTTTTATACTTGTATACTTCTGTTATACTCTTATACTTCTTTTACACTTATACAGTTAGAGATATTTTCACAATTACCGATTATCAACTATGAAATACTAGACTGTCTATCTTCAGACGAATAAAAGAACCAGAAGAATCCCCACAGACAATGGACCACAAAAAGCAAGCGATTCAGTCTCAAAAAAGCGAGGCCATAATTTCACCATCGCGCGATTCCTCGCCGCAACATCGCCGCGGCTTAGACGTATCAAAAAACGAGAAATTCAACGACTTTCCGAGCCTAATGAAAATCCACGCAGGATCGCGTCGATCGGAGAGCCGCGCTGGTTCGCCGTCGAGGATGGAAGAGGCTCGTTGTCGGTCTAGTACGAGACGAGGATGACACAACATCCGCGTACATTCGCTGCGCAAACATACTCTATCCCGCAGTGAGCCGACTTCGCGGCGATCGAACGCCTCTTCAATCATTTGCATGGCGACTTTAAAACGTTGCTGCACGGGAGGGACGAAAGTGGCAGCAGAGGGGCGAGGCGAGGCGAGCGACAAAACCGATCCCTCGGCCGAGGTTAAACGTTGCATTATTTATAGAAACCCCGCGAACGTCTAATCCCTGTCTGAGACGGTCTTCCGAGTGCTTAAAACTGCCGGCAAACGGAAGTGACGCAACACGGTGGGCGAATTGTTGACGATTCGCCGTGGCCCCCCTTCGATGTTTTAACACCTTTCGCTGGCCCGAGGGGGCGGCGGGCTGGCATGCGAGCGTGCTTGCTCGGGTGTTGAACTTAATTATGCGTGGGTAACGGCTGGCTCGCCGAGTGTTCCCCTGATTGGGCCCGACTAGCCTCGGCCGCCATATTCGAGATTATCAATCATCGCGGCCGCGATACTTATTGTTTCATAAGGCTGCGGGAACTCGACGCAGACGATCGGGATTAAACGTTCGCGCCGCGATTTTCTCTCGCTGCCACGACGATCGTCGCTTCTGTAGATACGAATGGACAATTCGGGGAGAGGAGACACGATCTCCGATTTGGGAAGAGGAGATCGTGTCTCCTCTTCTAAATTCTGTGAATGTGTTTAGCGGTTTCAGATCGATATACAGTAAATTCTCTCCGATTGTCTATCAACTTGATGAGAGAAATGTACAATTTGGGAAGAAGAGACACGATCTCCTCTTCCCAAAACGGTAAACACATTCACAGAATTTAGAAACATTATTGTACCATTTGCAACTCGTTGAAATTGTTAGGAAGATAAATAAATATCACTGTCACTTTAATAATATAAAATACTATAAAATACAATAAATACATATTATACGTATAATACATACATACACACACAATACATATATATTATACATTTATGTTATTGTATTATATTATATATAGTTACATATAATATTTACATATATATTTATATATATTTATATATATTTATATATATTTAACATTGATATCTATGAAGAACGTTTGAAGGAGTCACACTAAAACCAAATCAATGAATAGCTCGGCTCGAGAAACGTAACAGTTGCAAATCGCGCATTTCGATTGCCTTTAATTTCGTGTTTCACAAATTCCTCATAATCACCGAGCATGTGCAAAAATGATTCTTAATTTGAAAATGTTGGTACACATTCGTACCGCAAATTCGAAACCACCGCGGCGAACCGCCGAGGCAGTTGCCAGTCGGAAAGCATCGAATTTCCGCGGAAAAGCGCGGGGCGATAAAGTAGCTGACGAGCGGGCAGGCAAAAGCCGGGAAATTGATCCCCGCCGTTACATAATTTTCACGCGTTGCGCAACCCGTTGTAAAGCGCGGTGAAATTTTAACTGGTGCCCGTCGTTTAATAAACGATATTTACGATCTCCGCCCGTGTGCACCGGCCGGAACTTTCGGCGCGGACTACGCTCGCGCGTTTCCTCTTGCGCGCCGCAAAACACGGAGAGAGAGAGAGAGAGAGAGAGAGAGAGAGAGAGAGAGAAAGAGAGAGAGAAAGAGAGAGAGAAAGAGAGAGAGAAAGCAAGGGAGAGAGAAAGCAAGAGAGAGAGAGAGAGAGAGAGAAAGGGAGAGAGAAAGTGAGCCAAACTGCGTTTTCGACCGTATATCGTATTTTTCACGGGATTCTTATGGAACATTCCGTAGGACATCGGCGCACCCGCTTCGGAATTATGAAACTTAAATTGAAAAAGCTCCGCTGTCGGCGGCCATTCGTTTTACGGACTCCGTATTTTAGAGCTTTCGCACGCGCGCGCCGCTACTTTCGGTGCATTTTTAGCCGGGAGGTACACCGTTCGTACGCACCGGCACCGATTTTCCTAGATGAGAAAAAATAACTTGCGAGCGCGGAATTGGCCAGGGAGAGTTTAGAACGATGTTAGAAGCGGGAGAATATATTTAAAAGCGAGAAAGACCGATCTTAAAAAGACTTCGAATCGTACACCTTTTGCATCCAGCGTTCATCCTTTAGCTGATCATGCTCGACTTGGAACGAGTTAGAACGATTTTAGAAGGTTTTCTCTAAAAAATGAATAGGAAGAATATGAGAAATGATCAGGAAACACTTTGAAACAAGTTGTAACTGGACTGCGGATTTTTGTGGTTGCATTTGTGACAAAAATGGGGTCAAACTGGGTCAAGAACAAAATTCTGATAGCATGAGAGGAATTTCAGAACATTTTTGTGTTATGTACAGCTTATAAGAATTATTGAAAGAGGAATTATTATTATTACATAATTATTTTCATTTGATCCGCGTTTCTTACAATCGACAGAAAC